TGTTAAAATCTTCACACTGGCTACAGCGTTTTGCCATGCAGGCAGCTGTCAGGTAAAGGTTCAGGCAGGGACGGTGCGATGCGCATTTAATCTTCATGCACATTAGCTTAAATAAATGCCACTGCTCTTAGCAGAAAAAAACCTGCAAATATTTTCAGCGGGTTTTTGCACTAGTGTTTAGGAGCGTTTTGCGTTTTTTTTCTGCCAGAAAGCTGCTCTCAAAGGCTACGTTCACACTAGCGTTGTGTGCAGGCGGCAAAGAGGAGTTTGGGAAGTGTTTTTACCGCTTCCCAAATGCCTCTGCCAATTCTGCACATTACAGCACATGGTACTGTTCTAACGGGGGCGTTTGCGTCGCGTTGCGGCAAAACGGACGCCTCTGGTCGAGTCAGGAGGCGTTGAAGCTTCCTATTCTCGTCTATGGTGCCGCTCCGCAAACGCCCGGACGGCGTTTGCGGTGCAGTTGTGGGGCATTTGCGGAGCGGTAACACCACTCAAACTGCATTATAGGCGTTTGTGGGGCGTTATAAACGCTCGGCAAACGCCTAGCAACCGCCGCTAAACCGCGCATGCGGCATTTAAAAAACGCTCCGCAAATGCTGGACCAACGCTTGCCAAACGCTATAGGGGCGTTTGGCAAGCGTTGGTAAAACAGCCAAGTGTGAACGAGCCCAAAAACACAAAACAGAAAGGTTTTTTTTTCTGCCTCTAAATGCTGAGCGTAAAAAACGCATCTAGACTGCCTAATGTACATGGATACATAGGACAATAGTTGCTTCTACAGACAAAATGGTAAACTCCTCTAGAAGCAGTGTTCTTTATGCCAGTGTGCATGGAGCCTAAGCTTAGGTTCACACTACAGAGGTGCGGTAAATCCCATGTGAACCTTATAGGAACCGCACTCCTGTACAAATCACATGTGATCTGTATGCAGTGCGATTAGAGCCATACATTGTGTACGGCTCTATTCGCACTGCACCCGCACCAAAAACATGCAGGCCCCTTTTTAGGTCCGCACTGGAATCAGATCACATGGGTATTCACACCTATGTGATCTGATTGTGCACATCGCACAGCGTTTTGCGGACCGATGTTGGGGTGTTGTTAACATACACACCCGCATCGGTTCGTATGAACGGGGTGCGATTGTAATGCAGTGCGGAATTCGCACAGAAACCGCTGTGAATTCCGAACCGCATCAGTGTGAACCAGGGCTTAAAGTATAACTAAAGGCAAAACCTTTTTCTTTCCGTTTTGAACAGAGTGCAGAGGAAGTAGAATGCCTGTCAGCTTTTATTGCTGTCTGTGCCCCCAATAGGGAGATTCCCCCTCTCTATTTCTTCTGTTTACCATTATCATTGAAAGTACAGAAAATTCCAAATTTTGGGTTGTCCCCAGAAAAGTAATAGAAGGAAAATCTTTCAATGGGGACACTAGTTCTGGTGACATGGGGTCCCCAAGGAATTCCCTTAATTTGCAGGGATTTCCCCTCACTTCCTGTTTGGCTATGGGACAGGATGTGAAGGGAAATCTCCACAATGGGACACAGATGGCGAAATAATTATAACCCCCCATGCTCTATACAAAGTTAAATAAAAAGAGTTTTGCCTATATTTCTACTTTAAGCGTCATGCTGTGTACTTTGTTTTCTTTTTTTTTTAAACTTTATTGAAATGTGAAAATGACATTTAATTCATTTCTATGCCAAGCTGTGGTGCATAGAAGTACTTGAAGCCTTCAGGGGTTTCCCACACCACAGTGACGGTCCTCGTGTTACAGTGCAGTGTGAAGAGGAGACATATTGAGGTGCCTGGCATTGATCCTATCCAGGGAAACTCGAGTCACTGCACCCACCTCGTGTGGATAAGACCTTAGTGTAATTCTATGCGCTGCAATGTGTTACAACACTGCAAAAATTCAACGTTACTTTTTTTTTCATTGGTCTGTACCAGGGGCGGACTGACCATTTGGAAACTTGGGCACTGCCCGAGGGCCCAGGGTCAGTAGGGGGACCCATGAGATGCCCCTGGTACCTTTTTCATAGGCTTTTTTGAGTTTGGGCAAGGACACAGGGGCCCCATGATCCCCTATTGCCCGGGGGCGGATGGTACAGCCAGGTGTTTGCCATCAGCTGAGGCCACTCATCTTCTACAAATCAATCACAGGCTGACAACGCTCCCGAGCTGTCCACACGTAATCACATATGGATTAATTGCTTGCAGTTAGGGCAGTGTTTCTCAATCCAGTCCTCATGGACCCCCAATCAGGTCATGTTTTCAGGATTTGCTCATCCCTGCACAGGTGATGTCAGTCACTGCCTTAGTAATTGTGGTTCATTGAGGGAAACCTGAAAACATGATCTGTTGGGGGTCCATGAGGACTGGATTGAGAAACACTGAGTTAGGGACACATGATCTTGGATGCAATCTGCCTGTGTACAGCACTGCTCATCCCTAACCGCATGTAGTCACTCCTTGTGTGGACATTGTAACCTGTCATTGATCTGTACAGGCTGATCCCCCACCAACTGAAGAACTATGATGCTCTGAGCGGTATACGGCCCCGGACAGATTGTGAATAAGGCCTTAAAGTGCATGTGAACCCTCACCTTGTAAAACAGCCCATTCAGTTTAAAATAGAAATGAATTATAAAAAAACATTATAAAAACCTTTTTTCTCATTTTTTTATTAAGTCATCACATTCCTTCTGTTCCCAGCTGCATTAGGAGCTGGGGGAGGAGAAATAGCAACACACTGAACTTTCCAGTGAACGGCTGTGCAGGGGGTGGAGGGTGTCAGGACAAGTCTGATCATTGGAGAACTGACCACGCTGTACTCTACTAACTAGTGTGGTCAGTTTCAATAGGAAAGCAGAGGGACTGGCAGAAAGACCAGGGATTTCACACAAAGGAAGCAATAGGAAGAGAACAGGAGACGTTTTTCATACAAGTACATGGTACAGCAGTTACATGTCAGCAATATGAAATGCTGGGTTTATATATCTTTAAGTTTGATTACATAGAGAATCCTGAGCCTGCCCTCTGTAGATGAATATGTACACATTGGCCAGAAGACATTTTGAATGACTAAAAACAAGAGAGGGTGATCAGAGACCATCTATAGAGAAATAGGGGTATTGGAACTAAATTTACACATGTTGGGGTGCCCACCCCATGAGGCACATGGGTTACACAGTTGAAGGGCGTTGAGAAGACCCAATATGGAGTACGCAGTACAGCGCTGCAAGAATCTGCAGCACACTGCAACTCTACATGTTTTCTGTGATAGGAATTCCGGGAATGAGGCCTAGTGACCCCGTACATCCAATAACCCTGCCCCTGCTTCCTGTCTCTGGGGCGCTCTGGTATTTTAAGCCTTTTTCTAAAATTGTCAGTGCTGGGGAGTCAGCGTTCTGTAATTCCCAGATTTTCTCATGTTGAGGCCTTGCATGGATCATTTGATGGTTTGGCAGGCAGCACCCTCAGACAGCTGTGCGGATGCATAAACAAACGTGTGAAAGGCAGGTCTCTCTGTCCATCCCGTTGTTCACGGTCCCACGATACACCCATACACTGGAGACCGGGCAGCGTGTGAGGACGGTGATCTTATGATGGCCATAATCCATTTTTGTTACTTACGTTTAATCTGAATTTCTGCTTGGCTTACTTTTCATGTGTTTGCTCAATTGGATCTCAATGACAATCAGAACCGAGATCAAATTCCAAAGACATGCTGGTAGGTGAATTGGTTCCTGTCTAAATTGGCCCTAGTATGTGAATGTAAGTTAGGGACCTTAGATTGTACACCCCTTGAGGGTTAGGGACCTTAGATTGTACGCCCCTTGAGGGTTGGGGACCTTAGATTGTACACCCCTTGAGGGTTAGGGGGACCTTAGATTGTACGCCCCTTGAGGGTTGGGGACCTTAGATTGTACGCCCCTTGAGGGTTGGGGACCTTGAGGATTGTACACCCCTTGAGGGTTGGGGACCTTAGATTGTACACCCCTTGAGGGTTAGGGACTGATGTGAATGTACAATATATATGTAAAGTGCTGCGTAAATTGATGGTGCTATATAAGTACCTGAAATAAATAAATAAATTATACTGTCATCTCACTGAAATGTTCACCTCAATTTCTGTACAAATCCAAATTGAAAAATAATTGTTGGCATTATGAATGGATGAAAAGGTGTGATCCTTTTTTTTTTTTAATCTGGACAAAGAAAAATCTATTTAAATTAATCAAAAGTTTGCTTAAAATTCCATTTTTATACCCCTAAAAACGTGTGGAACACGTAACATGTTCCAAAGGTGAACTTATCATTTAAAGCTGACCTCCAGCCTTCCCTTCAGTACTGGCACAGTTGTACCGGCTCTTCTTCTGGACTGAAATGGCTTACTCTGATTTCACTGCATACTGTGAGCTTCTCACAGTGTGCATTAGATGCTGTGGCAAGTCAGATAGAGCTCCGCCTCATTTCCTGGCTAGATGACATTCAGCATTATGTAGCTCAGCCTGACTGTCCTTGGTCAGTTCCTTTTCATTCACTGGATTTCAGTTCTTTTGGTCATGGAGGCTCAGCATCACATGTGGGTGTTACCTAGGGTGGTCTACATAGAAAAGCCCACTCCTGACTGACTTTCACCCAGCATTTTGATATTTGCATAACTCCTCCCAAGAGTCACCAAATGCCTACATCAGTGCCAGGGGCACTTGAGAAGAGTACTGAGACAGGGTGATGTTCTCAGGAAACTATGTACAGCACCTTGCTGGCTCCTCCCAAAAGGCACAATCTGCCTGCATTGCATAGAGAAGCACAGAGACCTGGTGAGGTCCCTGGGCCTGTAATAAGGTATGTAATGAAAATGTATTAAGATTTTACTTAAAACTTGTATTAGCATGTTGGTGGAGGAGACCAGGGAAGGCGATATATAAGCAGATGAAACGTCCACTTTAAAGTGAAATTGTCTTACTATCTTGCTGGTTTTGTTTCCTGTAGCTACGTCCCCCCGGGTCTCTTCGGAGCTGGAACAGGCTCGCCCTCAGACAAGTGGAGAGGAGGAGCTACAGCTGCAGCTGGCACTGCCATGAGCAGGGAGGTGGCAGAGCAAGTAAGTGATAACCCCGGGGGCTCACTGACAATGAATACAGGCAACAGAGAATAGTGTTGTTGCCATTTCAGTCAGCCACGTATTTGCATTCATCCTAAATCTTAGAAAACCGACAGACCACTGATCATTGCCACTAGATTTGCACATGGTAGCAGTGACTGCATTCACTCAGACTGAAAATGAGCTGAAGGAGAGCGGCTAATATTGTGTGAGCTGGAGAAGGTTCAGGTTACCTACAGCATGTTCATTCTGTGTCTACTTCCCTACAACTCACATCAGCCTCACTGAACTGTTTCATTGGAAAATTACGTTCCTGCCAGGTCTACTATTTTATTGTATATTCGCTGTTGGCATTGTCGATTAAAAAAATTGTGTGCTCAACCTGCCACAATGCTTTTAAACATTAAATCTGAACTCCATGCAGGTATAAAAGACACACATTAACCGCTTCCTGACCGCCCGTATAGCAGAAATACTGCTACAGGGCGGAACAAGTGCCCAAAATCACGTATATATATACACACGTGATTTTGTATTTCCGGGTAGAGGCCGCACGTGTGCTCTATCTGCGCTGCCATTCACAGCCACAGCTGTGCGGGTTCTTGCCAGTGATCACTCACCGATGTCCGGTGATTACCGAGGATCACTGACGGGGAGGACAACTGTTTTGTTTACTAACAGTTCTTCTCCCTGTCAGCTCGGGCACGCTGCTTTGGATGGCTGTGCACAGCACAGCCATCCAAAGCAGTGTGCTTATAGTGAAGCACACAGACATCGCCCCATAGTAAAAACACACCCAGCACACAGTTAACCCTTTGATCGCCCCTCATGTTAACCCCTTTCTTCCCAGTGCCATTAGTACAGTGTCAGTGCTTTTTTGTATTACTAATCACTGTATTGGTGTCACTGGGGATGTCAGTGACACCAAGTCAGTTCCACCTCAGTGTCTAAAATGCCCGCCGCAGTCCCGCTATAAGTCGCTGATGGCCGCCATTACTAGTAAACATAATGATAATAAAATAATCCCAGTATCTATACTGCCATTTGTAAACATTATAACTTTCACGTAAACCAATTAATTTGTATTGGGATTTTCTTTTAGCAAAGACATGGAGCAGAATACATTTTGGCCTAAATTTATGACGAAATTTGATTTTTAAGAAGAGGAGGATCGGTGCTGCTCTGTGCAAAACCACTGCACAGAGCAGGAAAATATAACGTTTGTTATTTTAAAAAAAAATTGCCTCAAGTATCACTTTAAAGTGGAACTCCAGCCAAGGAAGTAAAACATTGCCAAGTTTCCCAGGTTTTTTCCCAATCACAATGGTCACCAAGACAAATAAAATTGGTAAATCTATCCTGCAAGGACACCGAAAATAAAAAAAAAGACAGAAGTCCTAATGCTTCCCAATTTTAGAGGAAAAAAAGTGCAAGAGAATGGATAATGGAAAAGTCTTCTGATTATTATGTCTGTGATTATGAAAGTAAAAGGGACCCCTCATAATGGTGGGGTACACAAAGCACTATTCTTAACTACCTGCCACACCCCATAGCAGTTTTACTGCTACAGGGTCGCTGCTCTCTCCAGAATCACATATATATATATATATATATATATATATATATATATATACACACACAGTGAAGGAAATAAGTATTTGATCCCCTGCTGATTTTGAATGTTTGCCCACTCACAAAGAAATGATCGGTCTAAAAATCGAATGTTCGGTGTATTGTAACACTGAGAGACAGAATAGCAACAAAAAATTCAAAAGAAATGCATGTCTAACAAATGATGACTGATTTGCATGTTCATGAGGGAAATAAGTATTTTATCCCCTTCACAAAACATGACTTAGTACTTGGTGGCAAATCCCTTGTTGGCAATCACAGAGGTCAGACGTTTCCTGGAGTTGGCCCCCAGGTTCGCACACATCTCAGGAGGGATTTTGGCCCACTCCTCTTGGCAGATCCTCTCCAAGTCATTAAGGTTTGGTGGCTGATGTTTGGCAACTCGAACTTTCAACTCCCTCCACAGATTTTCAGCCGGATTAAGGTCTGGAGACTGGCTAGGCCACTCCAGGACCTTAATGTGCTTCTTCTTGAGCCACTCCTTTGTTTCCTTGGCCGTGTGTTTTGGGTCATTGTCATGCTGGAACACCCATCCACAACCCATTTTCAATGCCCTGGCTGAGGGAGAAGGACCCAAGATTTGACAGTACATTGCCCCATCCATTGTCTCTTTGATGCGGTGCAGTTGTCCTGTCCCCTTAGCAGAAAAACATCCCCAAAGCAGAATGTTTCCACCACCATGTTTGACAGTTGGGATGGTGTTCTTGGGGTCATAGGCAGCATTCCTCCTCCTCCAAACACATCGAGTTGAGTTGATGGCAAAGAGCTCGATTTTGGTCTCATCTGACCACAACACTTTCAACCAGTCCTCCTCTGCATCATTCAGATGTTCAGTGGCAAACTTCAGATGGGCCTGGACATGTGCTTTCTTGAGCAGAGGGACATTGCGGGCACTGCAGGATTTCAGTCCTTGTCGGAGTAGTGTGTTACCAATTGTTTTCTTGGTGACTGTGGTCCCAGCTGCCTGGAGATCATTGACAAGATCCTCACGTGTAGTTCTGGGATGATTCCTCACTGTTCTCATGATCATTGACACTCCACGAGGTGAGATCTTGCATGGTGCTCCAGACCTAGGGAGACTGATAGTTCTTTTGTGTTTCTTCCATTTGCGAATGATTGCACCAACTGTTGTCATCTTCTCACCAAGCTGCTTGGCGTTAGTTTTGTAGCCCAGTCCAGCCTTGTGTAGGTCTACAGTCTTGTCCCTGACATCCTTGGACAGCTCTTTGCCATGGTGGAGAGTTTGGAATCTGATTGTTTGATCCGTCCTGTGGACAGGTGTCTTTTATACAGGTAACACAATGAGATTAGTAGCACTCCCTTTAAGAGACTCCTTCTAATCTCAGCTTGTTACCTGTATGAACGACACCTGGTAGCCAGAAATCCTGCTCAATGATAGGGGATCAAATACTTATTTCCCTCATGAACATGCAAATCAGTCATCATTTGTTAGACATGCATATCTTTTGAATTTTTTGTTGCTATTCTGTCCCTCAGTGTTACAATACACCGAACATTCGATTTTTTAGACTGATCATTTCTTTCAGAGTGGGCAAACATTCAAAATCAGCAGGGGATCAAAAACTTATTTCCTTCACTGTATATATACATGATTCTGCACTTCTGGTTGGGATTTTGTAAACAAAAATATGAAGCAGAATACATATTGGCTTAAATTTATGATTTTTTTGATTTGTTTATTTTTTTTACTGGATGTGTTTTATAGCAGAAAGTAAAAAATACTGTTCCCCCCCCCCCCAAAATTGTCAGCCTTTTTTTGTTTATAGTGCAAAAAATAAAAAACCCAGTGGTGATCAAATACCACAGAAAGAAAGCTCTATTTGTGGGAAAAAATGATATAAATTTAATTTATGTACAGTATTGCATGACTGTGCAATTGTCAGTTAAAGTAAATCTTCTGGAGGTAAATTAAACTTTGTTTTATGTCTCCTCAGGAAGAGCGAATCCGTCGGGGTGACGATTTGCGGCTTCAGATGGCCTTAGAGGAGAGTAGGAAAGACACCATCAAAGGGCCAAAAAAGAAATCGGTAAGACTCCTCTAAGCATTACAAGTGACCTACTTTGATTTTTCTGAGAAGTGACAGAGAAAGGAAGGACAGTGGCAGAAACAAGGGTGTGGGATGCTTCGTAGAGCAGAACAGTCCCCATTTCTCTGGCAACCTAGAAAATGAACAAGTCTACTATCGAACAAAAGCTGCAATAGCACAGGTCACTGCTGGGAGGGGAAACAGCTGCCCAGGTTTGGAGACTTGTGGACAGTCTCTACTGTAATAAAGCAGACAGTTGAAAGTAGAAATCCAGGATTTTTTGGTTCCCATCCTCCTGTGTGCTTCAGTGCTGCCCCTGACTTCCTTCTGGGTCCAGGACTGGCAGTCTTCAGGAAAAAACAACACTGTCATTCTGCTCACTCCCTGTGAGCTCAGTCTGTCATTTACATTAACCCCCCCTAGGTGATGGGTCATTGTGCAGGATAGGCTGACAGAACTCCAGGACTGAGCAGCACTCACACATCATTACATGAATACTGCTCAGTCCTGGAAGAATGCCCACCCCCCACTGAAAGAAAGGAAGCTGTGATCACATCATTGGACAGGCAAGATGACTTGAAGAAAATTGGTATGTAAAGGAGGATGTGTTTAAATCATGGAATTCTGCTTTAATTTTAACTGTTAAAGAGAACCAGCCATGAAGGGAATTTTCAAAAATATGAATCTCAATTTAATGTGTATAGCTGGGCAAAAGTTTAAAAAATATGCAATACATCAGTGCAATGCATTCACACTTTCCAGTGTTTTGTAAGTACAGAAAATGAATCCAATGAACGTCCTGTAGTGAGCTGACAACGCTACCTCTCCTGCACTGAAATCCCAAGCAGTGCTGTCAGCCTAAGCTGAGTTCTCCTCTGCCATGCTGGAGCACCCCTTCTCCTTAAAGCTAGGTTCACATATGTGCGGGTGGTGCGGCTGCAGATCCACACAAAAATCCGTGCATCACCCGCACAGAGAAATGCGTACCTGCGGGAGGGTGTCATTAGTTCTAATAGCACGCCGCCCGCACTGGAGAATGCAACCGTATTGGGAACCGAGGTTCCCATGTGGGTTGTGTTTTCAGAAGAAGTGCAGGGACTTCTTCCCTGCGTGTCACGGGGCATGGGAGTCTATTTAAATGAATAGGCTGTCATGCCTGCGCAAAACGTGGCCCGTACAGCCGCATACATGTGAACCGGGGGTTAGTCAGACCCATTTAAGCTCCAAACCTGTCACTTCGCACTGAGTAGAACAAGTGAGACAGCCTTTTTTGTGTCTAGAATTCATGGACAGACATTTCTAATAATCTGCTTAGTTCTTTAGTGGGAAAAAATCTTTTAAAGTGGAAGTAAACCTACTTTTGTATCTATTGTCTACAGGTAAGCTTATAATAAAGCTTACCTGACGGTACAATTAATATCTCTGAAATGTGAACCGTTTAGGAGATAATCGCTCTATTTGACAGGCGTCGCATGCGCTCTGAAGGAACGGCATACCTGTGCCAGTCCTTCAGAGCACTGTGCTGTGGCCCGAGACTCCCGCATGTGACGTCATTGCAGCTCGGCCAGTCAGACGGCCAGAGCTTGAGAACCCGGAAGGAAGACCAGGTGAAGATGGAAGCTTCTGCAGCTGTGACAGCCCCCACTGGAGGGCTTCGTTTTAACGCAAGTCCTTCATAATGGGCTAGTATGTGACGCATACTAACACATTATGACATTACCTTGCAGGGAATTGTTTAATTTTTATTTTCAAGTTGTGGTTTACTACCGCTTTAAAGCACTCATTGAGACTAAACTTAGACAAGATATACAGTGCATCCAGAAAGTATTTACAGCGCTTAACTTTTGCCACATTTTGTTATGTTATAGCCTTATTCCAAAATGGATTCAACATTCTACAAACAATAACCCATAATGACAATGAAAGAAGTTTGTTTTGAAATCTTTGCAATTTATTCAAAATAAAAAACGAAAAAAAACACATGTACATAAGTATTCACAGACTTTGCTCAATAGTTTGTTGAAGCCCCTTTAGCACCAATTACAGCCTCAAGTTGTTTGGAGTATGATGCTACAAGCTTGGCACACCTATTTTTGGGCAATTTCTCCCATTCTTCTTTGCAGTACCTCTCAAGCTCCACCAGGTTGGAAGGGAAGCGTCGGTGCACAGCCATTTTCAGATCTCTCTAGAGATGTTCAATTGGGTTCAAGTTTGGGCTCTGGCTGGGGCCACTCCAGGACATTCACAGAGTTGGCCCGTAGCGACTCCTTTGTTATGTGGGCTGTGTGCTTAGGGTCGTTGTCCTGTTGAAAGATGAACCGTCACCCCAGTCTAAGGTCCAGAACGCTCTGCAACAGGTTTTCATCAAGGATGTCTCTGTACAATGCTGCATTCATCTTTCCTTCGATCCTGACTAGTCTCCCAGTTCCTGCCGCTGGAAAACGTCCCCACAGTATGATGCTGCCACCACCATGCTTCACTGTAGGGATGGTATTGGCCAGGTGGTGAGCAGTGCCTGGTTTCCTCCAGACATGACACTTGGCATTCAGGCCAAAGAGTTCAATCTTTTTTTCATCAGACCAGAGAGTTTTGTTTCTCATGGTCTGAGAGTCCCTTTAGGTGCCTTTTGGCAAATTCCAGGTGGGCTGCCATTTGTCTTTTACTGAGGAGTGGCTGCCATCTGGCCACTCCACCATACCGGCCTGATCGGTGGAGTGCTGCAGAGATGGTTGTTCTTCTGGAAGGTTCTCCTCTCTCCACAGAGAAATGCTGGAGCTCTTTCAGAATGACCATCAGGTGCCTGGTTACCTCCCTGGCTATGGCTCCCTTGATCGCTCATTTTGGCCGGGCAGCCCGCTCTAGGAAGATTCCTGGTGGTTCCAAACTTCTTCCATTTACGTATGATGGAGGCCACTGTGCTCATTGGGACCTTCAATGCTGCAGAAATTTTTCTGTACCCTTCCCCAGATCTGTGCCTTGATGCAATCCTGTCTCAGAGGTCTATGGACAATTCCTTGGACTTCATGGCTTGGTTTGTGCTCTGACATGCACTGTTACCTGTGGGACGTTATATAGACAGGTTTATGCCTTTCCTAAGCATGTCCAATCAACTGAATTTCCCACGGGTGGACTCCAATCAAGTTGTGGAAACGTCTCAAGGATGATCAGTGGGAACAGAATGCACCAGAGCTCAATTTTGAATGTCATGGCAAAGGCTGTGAATACTTATGTACGTTTTTTTTTCGTTCGTTTTTTTATTTTGAATAAATTGCAAAGATTTCAAAATGAACTTCCTTCACGTTGTCATTATGGGGTATTGTTTGTAGAAAGTTGAAGAAAAAAATTAATTTAATCAATTTTGGAATAAGGCTGTAACATAATAAAATGTGGCAAAAGTTAATACTTTCTGGATGCACTGTAATTCTTGCGATTTGTTGCATTCTCATGTAATTTTACATGCATGTGTACAAATTTGTTTATGCATTATGAAAAAGTTTCTGCATGATTACTTTACATTAAAAAAAAAAGAAAATCACAATTAGGCCCCTTTCACACAAACATTCCAAACGGGTCCACTTGTCTGTTTTACAGGCGGACACAATTGGAACCTCCATTCTCCTCTATGGAGCGGCAGGTATAAATGGACATATGTCTGTTTACACCTGCCTACATCCAATCTGATCCTATCCACTAAAAACATTCCGCTCCCCTTCCATCTGGCAGATTGGATCAGATGGCAGTTGGGCGTAAACGGTTAGGTGGTCCGTTTACATCCAACCTCCCATAGCGAGAGTGGGCTGTGTCTGTGTATGCTCTGCAGTGGAGAGGAGACTGACCTGTCATCCACCTGCTCAGCAGGGATCAGCAGACAGATCCTCTGCTGAGCAAGCGAATCGCAAGTAGAGTCTGCCCCATGTGAAAGGGGCCTTAAAGTGTGCAAAAATATTTAGAACAGCTGATTGCTGTGTCCCCCTCCCAGATTTCTTAGACTTGCCATAGACACCGTTACCCGATATGGTTAAGGCCTTCCAGAGTGGCTAGCAATAACCTTGTGCCCATAGGTGGCTTTAACTCTTCTTGTCTGATTTACAATGCTCATTGATTTACTAATTTTTTATCAGCAGCAGCAGCCGTCGTTGTTGGACCTAATAGACGCACTGCCTCCAGGGGCCCCAGCCCCTCCTAAATCCGAGCCTTGGGCAGCCGCATCGGTACCAAAATCAAAAAGCCAACCTGACCCTTGGGGGGCAACTGCTGCCTCTCCTACCTCCAGAGACCCCTGGCAGTCTTTTGGTAAGTAAACTTTGTCCTTTGGCTCTTTTCGGCCATGTAATGTGGTTCTGTGATGTCTATATATTGTTTAATACTAGCCTGCAAAAGATTACATTCTGGTAAATACTGGTTCAGAACACGAATGATCTAAAGTGACACGTACACATGCTAGATACCTCCTGTAAGGTACTGCAGCACTAATCTACCTTCAGTCTTCAGTGGACCTGTATACAAATGCTTGCTATGTTAAAGGGTAAGTTCATCTTAAAAAAAAATAATAAATACACACGTTTTTGCAATAAAAAAAAGGTACATTTATTTTTTTTTTTTATAATTGAGCATGTAGACCATTGCACCCATGATCAGTGGATCACTCCTACAGACACTGCTGAGAGTTGGCTGCCCATATCCCTGTATGGGCAAACAGTTACTGTCAGTAAACTAGCAGGGTGCTGATCAGCGCTCTGGTAGTTCATTGAGAACTACAAGCCTTCTGCCGCAGTGGTAGATGGCACTTGTAGTCCATTCGTTCACAGATCTCTGTATGTATATAGGGTGGGGGTTCGGGCAGGTGATGTACTGTAACATGTTACACTCTAAGTACAGATGTAGCATGTTAAAGCAAGGGGAACTTGTCCTTTATGCCCTGGTTCACACCAAATGTGATTTCAAAGTGGTGTGATTCGGTCCCATTTAATGCACAAAGTAGAGCTGATAGGGACACAGGTGAGATTTCAGTGCCATTTACCTTATAGTCTAAGAGTTTAATCGCACGGAAGTGGTCAAAAAGTAATGCAGGAACTATTTTTCAAATCGTGCTTCTTGAAATCACACCTATTAAGACAGTGCCATAGAAATACAGTACAGATAAGAGGCAACTTCAGGAATGTTTTCTTTAATCGCATGCCGCACCTGAATTTGCAGCAGTGTGAACCAGAGTTTAGTCTTTTGTGTATAGAGAAATTTACCTGGAGATAATTTTACTTCAGCCCTTTCGTACTGGTCACACGTCTGAAGGTCTAAGTCAACCAGGGTTCCTCCAGTGGTTACTAGGGGTTCCTTGAGCTATAAGCAATAGTGGATCTTGATCTCCCCCCCCTACACTGACCATCAATGTTAGGGGGTATTTTTCTACTAGTGTAAGGGTTCACTTCTACTCTGACCAGCAATGTAAGTGGCCGTTTTTCAATCAACCATGTTACATAAGAGGGCACTTCACCACCAGCCTCTGGTGTAATGATACACAACTACAATTTTTACAGTCTCTTTTGGGTGACATTATTGAAAATAATTCTAGACTGTAGAGCAAGAAGTGTCATAAAATGATGCATTCTGGGTAAGGGTAAGCTCAGGTTTGGGCACAAGAAGCTGTCACATTACAACAGGTCACTGTCCCAACCAGCTGAGGCGGTGGAAATTCCTGCCCCGCAGCTGCAGGTAACAAAAGATATTGCCCAAATATGGCCATATGGCTTTCAGCCTCCGAAATTGCTAAATTCCCTTTTTTTTCTGCTGTGATCCTACATCCTTTTACAGGGTGGCTAAGTTTGTTCTAAATGGTCCTATATGTAGGTATATAGCCACCCTGCTCTTGCTCGCTCCTGAGATGGACTATATGATTTGTAGTGTGCATAGAACAGTGTTCATGACCACAACTAAGGTGCACTGCTTGTTCCAATCAAACAGAAATGACGAGAAGAAAGTACAGATTCAGGTACTCAGAGGATGTTACAAGGACAGTAAGAAATCATTTAATGAAAAATAGATTACAGAAACGTTAAGCAGTGGATGTGTGTGGGTTATTTTTGGACAATAAGGATATTGTTTAATGTCACTTTAAGGATCAATCAATAATAACAAATATTTCCGTCCCCAAACTGTTGCTGGTTGTTCTTGCCTACAGAGAAAATGATGGGGGATTTCGATTTGTTGCTACGGCCCTCCCAGTTTTCTTTCAGCCACTTGTAACACTGAGTCACCTGCCGCTTTGTTTACTTTCCCTTTCCACAGTAGCCCAGTGTTGGATTCGGCAGAGGGTGACGTCACTGTACTGGCAGTTCAGATACATTCCTCAGTGGAAAGTCTCAGGGTAGCCAGAAAAAAAGATCTTGTTGAAATTTGTAGGAAGCTTAATGCCTAAAACGGGAATCCGTCTGACCACATTCTTGTCTCAATTTCTGATTTTAAAAGCCACATCATGTAACCCTGTAATCTGTAACACAAATTACAAAAAAAAATGTCAAAAAAAATTTGGCTCTATGAGAAACCCAACATGCTTCACTGCACACTCAATATGTTATAAAAAGACCTGTTTTAAGGATGGCATCCAACTTGTTCCTCCTGCTACACTAAATACACTATATTGCCAGACGTATTGGGACGCCTTCCTTTACACTATACACAATTACTCTATAACAGCTTCAACTCTTCTGGGAAGGTTTAGGAGGGTGTCTATGGGAAGGTTTGACCATTCTTCCAGAAGCACATTTGTGAGGTCAGGCACTGATGTCGGAGGAGGAGGCCTGGCTCACAGTCCCCGCTCTAATTCATCCCAAAGGTGTTCTATCGGGTTGAGGTCAGGACTCTGTGCAGGCCAGTCAAGTTCCTCCACCCCAAACGGGCTCCTCCTTGTCTTTATGGACCTTGCTTTGTGCACTGGTGCGCAGTCATGTTGGAACAGGAAGGGGCCATCCCCAAACTCTTCCCACAAAGTTAGGAGCATAAAATTGGCAAAAATGTCTTGGTATGCTGATGCCTTAAGAGTTCCCTTCACTGGAACTAGGGGGCCCTGAAAAACAACCCCACACCATAATCCCCCCTCCACCAAACTTTACACTTGGCACAATGCAGTCAGGCAAGTACCATTCTCCTGGCAACCACCAAACCCAGACACCTCCATTGGATTGCTAGACAGAGAAGTGTGATTGGTCACTCCAGAGAACACGTCTCCTCTGCTCAAGAGTCCAGTGGCGGCGTTCTTTACAAAACTTAATCTGACGCTTTGCATTGCACTTGGTGATGTACGGCTTGGATGCAGCTGCTCGGCCATGTAAATCCATTCCATGGAGCTCTCTACACACTGTTGTTGTGCTAATCTGAAGGGCCACACCAAGTTTGGAGGCCTTCAGCATGCGCTGACTTCGCTCTCTCATTTTACGTGGTCTACCACTTGGTGGCTGAGTTGCTGTTGTTCCCAGTTGCTTCCACCTTGTTATAATACCACTAACAGTTGAGCGTGGAATATTTAGGAGCAAGGAAATTTCATGGATGGACAGGTGGCCACCTATCATGGTACCACACTTGAATTCACTGAGCTCCTGAGAGCGACCCATTCTTTCACCAATGTTTGTAGAAGCAGTCTGCATGCCTAGGTGAATGATTTTATACACCTGTGACCATGGAGGTGATTGAAACACTTGAATCCTACGATTTGGTGTCCCAATACGTTTGTCAATATAGTATATATAGAGAATAAATCCAATTTAGAAATACTGTCTTGAAGAAACTGCTGCTCCAAAACTCTCTCTAGTGTTGGTCACATGACCAGATACCCTGGCACTGGTCACATGATCCCAACTGAAGGGGCTTATAAGACTGTAACTACATGTTCATGCTGAACCAGCTAGTTAGAGGCTGTGCCTGAACTCTGAATCTTCAATGATTAAGAGATCACATGGCCAGTCCTGAGGTATTCATTAATGTATTAATTAGCATTTTTGTTTTCCAGATATTTAGTGTGGTGGATAGGTCAGATTGAAAGATGTTTGCATTTAGTAAGCAGGAACCAACAAAGTCTTACCCGATCTCTCTAAATCAAGGGACCTGCAAAATTTCTAGACAAAGGACCTGTTTTGCCGTCCTTCAAAATTTAGGTGGGGGGGGGATAGAATGTGGACAATTAGAAAAGAAAATGCCCTGGTACCAGTGGTCGCTGGGTGCAAACAATGCCCCCAGCTTTGTGATTAGTTGGAGACAAAAATTACCTGGCTCCTGTGGTTGGTGGGAGGAAGAACAATGCCCCATTATTGGTGTTAGTAGAAGGAGTGGTTACCCATTATTGGTGTCAGTAGGTGGAACGGCTCCCCATCATTCGTTACAGTGGGAGGAATAGTGAACTATCACTGGTGTCAGTGAGAGAAATAGTGCCCCATCATTGTTGTCAGGGATAGGAATAGTGCCTCATCATTGGTGTCAGGGAGAGGAATAGTGTCTCATCATTGGTGTCAGGGAGAGGAATACTACCTTATTGGTGTCAGGGATAGGAATACTGCCTCATCATTGGTGTCAGGGAGAGGAATAATGCCTATTTATTGGTGTCAGGGAGAGGAATAATGCCTAATTATTGGTGTCAGGGAGAGGAATAGTACCTCATCGCTGGTGTCTGTGGGAAGAAAGGTGCTCCATCATTGGAAGAATAGTACCCCATCATAGGTGTCAGAGGGAGGAATACTGCCTCATCATTGTTATCGGTGAGAAGAAGTGTACCCCATCATTGGTGTCAGTGGAAGGAGTAGTGCCCCATGATTGTTTTAGCAGGAGGAATAGTGCCCCATCATTGGTATCAGTGGGAGGAATCATGCCCCATCATTGGTATCAGTGGGAGGAATAGCGCCCCATCATTGGTATCAGTGGGAGGAATAGTGCCCCATCATTGGTGTCAGTGGGAGGAATAGTGCCCCATCATTGGTATCAGTGGGAGGAATAGTGCCCCATCATTGGTGTCAGTGGGAGGAATGGTGCCCCATCATTGGTATCAGTGGGAGGAATAGTGCCCCATCATTGGTATTAATTGGAGGAATAGTGTCCCATCATTGGCATGAGTTGGAGACGTAGTACTCCATCACTGGTATTAGTGGGAGGAATAGAGGTCCAAGGGACAATTAGAGACAATGGGCCACAGTTTTGAAACCACTTATCCAAATTATTTCTTTATCCTATCTTGGCAGATGCCCACTTTGCACTATGGGTAAATCGCAGCTACCCGACCAATTGCAAAATTGCTTCCTGTTGGCGCTATAGCAAACAAGGACTAACAGTGCCATTTTTTTCAGTTGTTAGCAGTGTTCGGAAATCTGAATTCAAGCCCTGCTGCTTTTATTTGTACATGAAATTAACATGTATTTAGTAGGGAAGGCCTGTGCTTCCTGCTGGCTCCCTCCTTGGGAAGCCCATACCTACATGTGAAATGTCACAGCCTGCCACTAACACTCAGAGCTAACAGCGTCCATCTGTTTATACGGCAGGTACGAAGACATCTGCCACCTCTGACCCCTGGGGATCAAGCACGGTCTCTTCAAGGCAGTCTCTTCCCAAAAGCCAAGACCCCTGGGCCCCCTTGCCTGCCTCGGGAGCAGCTAATTCTACAGCAGATCCCTGGGGACCTGCAACTAAATCTAGCACAAGCACAGGTGAGAGCACTCCAGTGTAGCAACAGATGCACAGAGCACTAAAACACAGCTGTGTGTAGTTAAAGAGGACCTGTCACTGAGGGCTTGCAAGAATTTGAATGCTCATTCTTAAAATATAAATCAGTATGAAACTTATTGCTCTCTTAATTAGATTTAATTGCTGTGCCTACATATGACTCTGAGGATCAACAGTTTGCTTCAATTCTAAATTGGAACTAAGTGTAAGATAAAAAATGACTTACATGATGCAGTCTGTTACTAATATTAACACAGCGGTCTTTGTTTTTTTATAATTCTGCTGTAACTTAATTTTATTACCTCCCTCCTGCCCATCATCCCTGGAATGAAGAATCGAAGAAGATGGGCATGAAATTGTGAGCTGAATAGCAGCTGCATCCAATCAGATTCAGGCGCTGTTCGAATATTTTGACAGATAATAGAATAGTTAAAGTGGTTATAAAGGCTCAAGGTGTTTTACCTTCATGTATTCTATGCATGAAGGTAAAAAACCTTCTATGTGCAGCAGTGCCCCCAGCCCCCTCAATACTTACCTGATGTCAACAACAGGCTCAGCTGTTCCAGGTCTCTGCCTCCTCATTGGCTGAGACAGCAAGCGGGAGCGACTGGCTCCCATTGTTGTCAATCACAGCCAGTCAGCCAATGAGGAGAGAGAGAGAGAGGATGGAGCGGAGCCGTGGCTCTGTGTGTGAATGGACACACGAAGCAGCGGGTGCCCCCATAGCAAGCTACTTACTGTGGGGGCACCCGACAGGAGCGAGGGACCAGGAGAGCCTGCGGGAGACCCAAGGAGAATTGGGACTGCTCAGTACAAAGCTACTGCACACACCAGGTAAGTACAGCATGTTTGTTATTAAAAAAACAAAACCTTTACAATAGCTTTAATATACAAGAGCCACAGCAGGAGATTTGCCCATCTGCACTTTGTAGCGTGAATGAAGTATTCTGGGTTTTTTTTTTGTTTAGCTTGTTGGGCTGAACAGACAACAAGAAGTCCCCTCTCTGGCTCTCAGTCACTGCTACATAGGTCCTATAGCTGGGACCTCGGATAGTTCTGAATTAGGGACTACACTTATCACAGATCTTGACATGGCAGTATGGCTTCAACAGGTATTTGTAAATCTGTGCAACCAAGATTTCATTCACACATGTGGTCAGGGAGGGGGACAGTAAAACCAGATGTTTATGCTGTAGTTTTATTGCCCCTTCTGCTCATGGCTGTAAATGTGCCACAGTTGCAGCAAGGATTAAACAGCATGTCGCTTCTGGTGGGCGCTGCTGCTACTGAACACGTCTAATGCAGGTCTATGGGGAGGCACCACAACCGCCACACAACCATGTGTTGGTTGCATGGTAGTGCAGCTTTTATGGGTTAAACCAGGCTGTCAAATGCTCTCAGAAAAGGAGTCCAGATCCGCTTCAGAGGGCACTGCTCATGTGAATGGGCCAAAAAACCTCAGTTTGTAACCTAAGTAGCTGAATCACTTTAGTTAGTTTTCTGGCTATCATGAAAGTGCGATGGGGAACTTCTGGTTCTTCCCAACACCTGCTACTGTCACTTTTTGCTTGGTCTGCATGTAAAATATCTGAAATAAAAAAAAAAAAGGAATACATATACTGAATGACATCATTACAGGTATTAACCCCATACAAGGTTGTATGCTATAATTGTCCTTTTAAAGTGACACTAAACTCTGATCTTAACAAAATCTTTTAAAGCATGTGTTCCTAAGTACCTTCTATTGCTCTCAAGTCTCCCTAAAAATCTCCAGATTCCTATTAGAAGGTGGCTAAATGCGTTCTCCATGGTCTCAATGTACAGAGGAATATAGTCACCCTCTCTTGCTCACTCCTGAGTGTACATAGAGGACTGCACATGACCACAACTAATACACACTTCTCATTCCAATGGAAGAGAGGGGAAAAAGGAGAGGTTTGGGAGCTGACTGAGGACAATATAAAGAGAAAGAAATATACAGTAAGAAACCATTTCATGCAAAATTGATCATAAGGTCATTAAGTAGAGGATGTGTATGGATTATTTTGGAGAATAATGATATTATTTACTTTCACTTTAAGCATTCCTTTTCTATTTTTTTTTAAAAAGGAGGTCCATCCTTTGACCCATTCAGCAATTTAAATGGGACTGTGAGAGATGACTTTTCTGAGTTTGACAGCCTGAGGTCCACATCTAAAGTATCAGGTACGTAATATGCAATTCATCTTTGCTGTATCAGCTGCACATTTAATACATTTTATTTTCCCTGGGTGTCCTCCAAAAAAAGTCCTAAGAAAGTACTGGGGCCCATTTCTTTCTTTCCAGTGTGTTAACGCATGCATATTAAAGGTAATGCGTGTTGTGTTAAGGGAGTGCACTGAAAGTAATGAGCTGTCAATGCGGGGCAGGCCAAGGCACGACTCTATGGGGTTTATTTACTAAAGCTGGAGAGTCCAAAATCAGACTCCCTTCTGCATAGAAACCAATCAGCTTCTAACCTCAGCTTGTTCAATGAAGCTTTGGCAATGAAACCTGGAAGCTGATTGGTTTCTATGCAGAAGGGAGTCTGATTTTGGACTCTCCAGCTTTAGTAAATAAACCCCTATGTGTCTTATGGACACATAGAACAGTGGCTCGGGGGCAAGCAGGCTGTGGTGTCCCCAGGGAGAGCGGCTTTCTCTGTGGGCACTGCTCTAGATGGAAGAGCAAGGAGTGCCGGCGGGGACCCGAAAAGAAGAGAATAGGGGCTGTTCTTTGCAAAACCACTGCACGGAGCAGGTAAGTATAGACATTTTTGTTATTTAAAAAAATACAAGCTTTAGTGTCATTTTAAATACCTGTTTTGCCTCTTTATTGAAACTTACAGATACCACCAGCCTGAAGCTAGTGAGATTTTAAGGAGCAAAAATCTATAAGATAAAAGTTTGTGAATTAACATTAAAGCAGTAGCAAACATTTATTATATTGTAGCTTACCAATTCTTAAATGTGATGGGTGCATTAGTTTTCCTTTTTAGGCTTTCTTCCTTTTATTTTCACCTGGTGTTCCTGTTAGTAGGTCTGTTGTTTTTCAACAGAACAAGCCCTTCTGCAAATGTATCAGAGTGTCACCACTGAGAGGGGTGCTCACTATGATTAGCTTTTATTTAGTGTAATGTAAAACCTTTACCCCCCCCAAAAAAAAAAAACCATTGCTGTAGCTGCTTATAAAGTATTAGCTGGAGCTTGGTTTCAATTTGTTAGTGTATGTAAAATCTGCTAGTACATCTAAGGGCCCTTTTGTGCAGGAGATCCAATCAGGTCACCTGTCAGTTTTTGAGGCATACCTGGTAGGTAGGTCCATGCATTCCTCAGGACTGGGAGCTGTAAATGGACTTGTGTTTGTTTACACCTGCCTACCGCTGGGTCTGAACAGGTCTGCTAAAGAAAAATAGAGCTGCCCATAGAAAACGAGGTCTGTCCATGTCCACTCTGCATAAACTGAGAGGACAAGGACCTGTCACCCACTCCACTTTGCTCAGCAGTGAGTCAGCAGACAGATCCTCTGCTGATCAGAATGGAAGACACCCATGTGCATGGGCCCTTAAACCCCCTCAGACTAACAATGCTTTTGTCCAAAGGTGCCCCCTATGATCCTTCATCCAGAGTGAAGGAACTCTTAATACAAGAGGTGTGTTACTGGCCAGATCACCAGGTGAAAACAGAGGTTAAAAACGCTAAAAAAGAAAATGAATGCAGCCACCACATTTATTGGTAAGCTGCAATGTGATACATTTTTGGTTTTTGGTTGATTATCACTTTAAATTTGATTTTCTAAAGGAGTTGAGGATCTTCACAATTTATTGTCAATTCACAAACTTTATCTCTATAAATTGAGTGAACTTTGACTTCAATTATGTATCCAATCATCTGGTGGGCAAATTACTGTTTATTTAATCTACACATGATTAGGTATTGAAAGTGAACACAGGTACAGTTTACCAAGTAAAGATTCTCAGTTCATTTAGTAAATCCCATTGTGTGGTGAACAAACATGTCTGATGTGTGCAGTAATAATACCTTGGTGAATTCAGACTTGTGCTTTGGATGGGGTCATATGAAACCATTATGGGAAAATTTGGAAATGTAGATGCAAGAATATTGAGTGTACACCTTACCATTTTGTTATCAAGCCTTCATTTTATTCTTTGATTTTTGTGCCATTCAACTTGAAGTTGAAATTGGTTCTAAAAGCTCAACATTTTTTACCTTAATGCATTCTCTGTCCCAGTATTTGTATAGTCCCCTAATTACCTGAATCCTATCTCGCTCCCAGGGGCGGACTGACCATTTGGAAACTCAGGCACTGCCCGAAGGCCTGGGGTCAGTAGGGGGCCCCATGAGATGCCCCTGGTACCTTTTTCATAGGCTTTTTTGAGTTTGGGAAAGGACACAGGGGCCCCATGATCCCCTATTTCCCGGGGGCCCCATGAGTTGTCAGACCGCCCCTGCGAGTCGCTCCTGGGCTGCAGCGGCCCACTCCTCTCTCTGCTTACAGGGACAGCAGATTGGCTCCTGCTGCTGTTTAGCCAATCCTGTGAACAGGGGAGAGCATGTTGGGGGGGGGGGGGGGGGGGGGTTTGGGCGAAGTTGAGCCGCACTGTGTGTGTCAATGGACACACACAGGTCCAGCTCCGGAAAACTTCAAGTGTTTGTAAAGGCTGTTATTCTTTATTTGTGGAAAATAACAAACATGTTATACCTACCTGCTCTCAATGGTATTGCATTGAGCGACCCTAAACCTCCTCTTCTGGGGTCCCCCACTGGCACTCTCTGCTCCTCCTCTTCTTGATATAGGGGTACATAATGAAGAGGAAAAGCAAAATAGTGCCAGTGGGGGACCCCAGAAGAGGAGGTTTAGGGTCGCTCAATGCAATACCATTGAGACCAGGTAGGTATAACATGTTTGTTTATTTACAGAAAAAAATTGTCTTAACAAACGCCTGAAGTTTATTCTTATATTTTACCTTCCCTGGCTCCTCCCCCTTCCTCTTCATCAACATGCTAATAACATCTTCAATGAAAATCTTTGTTTTCATTACATATCTTATTTTAGAACCAGTGCCACCATCACTGGGTCTCTGTGCTTTTCTCTGCAATGCAGGCAGATCATGGTGGATGGGAGGGGCCGGCAGTGTGCTGTACATATCTTTCTGAAAAAAATCACATCGCCCTGCCTCAATACTCCTCTCAAGAGCCTTCAGCCCTGATACAAGCAGTGGGCTGGCTCTTGGGAGGAATTATGGAAATGCACAAATGCTTTAATGGGTGGAGGTCCGTCTGGAGGAATGGGATTTCCTAGAAAGGCTGCATTTGCATGCAAATAATGCCTACATGTGAGAATCTATGATTGAACCAACTGGAATCCAATGAATGAAAGGGGTGATCCAGGGACAGTCAGGTTGGGGAGGAAAGGGCGAGATGATGATGTATGTCCTCCAGTCAAGAAATGAGGCATGCTAAATCTGACTTCAGATGCACGCTGTAAGGTTTGATTTTGGCTTTAAACTTTGCACACGGCAGATTGTAGTGTGTGTAGACAGCTTTAGACTGGTGATAACGATGGCTCAGATGAGAAGCCATGCCCAGTGAATGCTCAGTTTTTGGGGAATGAACCCTGGCCCAGCCCATCGGAAACGGACGACTTTCTGGATCTCATTTTCTGAAGTAGCTGAATCTGTTTTTCTCAGGGCTGACGTTTCTAGGAACTGTGTTCTTGTCCAGACGAGGTTCTGAATGAAGTCACAATCGTGTTTACGTTGGCTGTAACACAAGGAGACATCATGGCTTCTCTGAGTCTTTAGGGAGCCATATCAACATCCAAGTCTCCTCCTCCCCTGCATGTACCCCAGCGCTGCTTCAGTCAGTCCTCCGGTGGAACTCCAACTCCCATCATGCCTCAGCAATGCGGTGGAGGCACAGCTGCACACACTGCCTGCGGTTGATTAATCCAGCAGTCATGTTCCATTCTAAATCGAATGGCAGATGTTCAGCATCCGGAACATTCCACTGGCAGTCCTTACGCTGCAAAGGTTCCTGGTTTCCTCTCCTTCTTTTGTTTTTATCTGCTTGGAAATGCTGTGGTGAAATGTGATGTATCCCAGGTGTCTGGGAGGGGAACATCTGCTGGAATAACTGGCATAAGCTGTGGAGGAATGTTGGATGGAGTGCGGGGGTCAGAGGTCACACATGTGCTCAAACCCCTGTAGTCTGCAGACATATGGAGAGGAAGAGGCTGCTACCTAAACCTGCACACAGAGAGAGAGACGTCTGTTCCTGCAATGTCCAGGAGCTGTACATATAACACTCAGTGCTGTGATTCACCTGTCCTTCCTCCCGGACTTGCTGTGTAGCTGTGCTGGGGGTTTAAGCCCGGGTTCAGCTTTTTTCATATTCTCTACCTATAGGAGAAAGAATTTCCAGGGAAAAGGTCATTCTTACTGCTGAAACCATTCAAAACTGCCTATGAAATAAGCTGAACTCTAGCTTTACCGGAACTGCTTTCCCACCACCCTACAGCAGAAAGGCTGCTACAGGGCGGCAGGGGTGCGCAAAATCACATATATGCATTCGCGGCCTCGGCTGTCAATCACCGGGTCCCAGCCAGTGATTGCCGAGCATAAATGGTTAGCACTTCCATCTGGCCAGTACTAACTAGGGTTGTTGGTTCGAATCCCAACCCCGACGCCACCTGCCTGGAGTTTTAATGTTCTCCCTTGAGGTGATTGTAGCCGTATTAGTGCATTTGCGCCAGAAACAATTAAGTACTGTCCGTGATACTTTTTTTTATTTGCACTAACATACTGCTTGGGCCTTGAAGAAGGGGACACTCCCCGAAAGCTTGTCCTCAAAATTGTATGTTAGTGCAAATAAAAAAAGTATCACGGACAGTACTCAACATGTTCTCCCTGTGACTGCGTGGGTTTCCTCCAGGTACTCCAGTTTCCTCCCACACTCCAAAGACATGCTGGTAGGTTAATTGGCTCCTGTCTAAATTGTCCCTATGTGTATGTGTATGTATGAATGTGAGTTAGGGACCTTAGAGATTGTACGCTCCTTGAGGGTTAGGGACTGATGTGAATGTACAATATATGTATGTAAAACGCTGCGCAAATTGACGGCGCTATATAAGTACCTGAAACAAATAAATAAATTACTGACGGGGGAGGGAATAGTATGTAAACAATACAGTTCTCTCCCCTGTCAGCTTCTGCACACTGCTTTGTATGGCTCTGCACAGCAGAGCCATACAAAGCAGTGTGCTTACAGTGGAAAGCACAGACAGCCTCATAGTAAAACACACACAGCACACAGTTAACACTTTGATCACCCCTCATGTTAACCCCTTTCTCCCCAGTGCCATTAGTACAGTATCAATGCTTTTTACTAGCACTGATCACTGTATTGGTGTCACTGGGGATGTCAGTGACACCAAGACAGTTCCCCCCCAGTGTCAGAATGCCCGCCGCAGTCCCACTATAAGTCGCTGATCACCGCCATTACTAGTAAAAACAAGAAAAACAATTCCAGTATATATTCCGCCATTTGTAGACGCTATAACTTTCATGTAAGCCAATTAATTTATACATATTGGGATTTTTATTTTAGCAAAGACATGGAATGGAGCAGAATACATTTTGGTCTAAATTTATGATGAAATTTGATATTTAAAGTTTTTTTTACTGGACATGTTTAATAGCAAAAAGTCAAAAATAGTTATTTTCTCAAACTTGTTGGTCTTTTTTTTGTTTATAACGCAAAAAAAAAACCGCACAGGTGATCAAATACCACCGAAAGGAAGTTCCATTTGTAGGGGAAAAAAAGGATCACATTTTAATTGGGTGCATCGTTGCATGACAGCGCAATTATCAGTTAAAGTAACGCAGCGCTGTAACACAAAAAATGGCCTGGTCAGGAAGGGGGGTAAATCCTCTGGAGGGCGAGGGGTTAAAGTGGTTGTAAAAGCTCAAGGTGTTTCACCTTCATGCATTCTATGCGCCACTGGCACCCGCTGCTCTCAGTCCATGAGGAGTGAGAGAGACCAAGGCGAGCCACCGGTTTTGTGCACATGGCTGGATCGAGATGGGACTCGGGTAAGTATTGGGGAGGCTGGGGACTGGTTGCAGAAGGTTTTTTACATTAAAGCATAGAATGCATTCAGGTAAAACCTTGAGACTTTTGAACTAATTTAATAGCTACAAAGGATGTAAAATAACTTTGTATGCACCAGATATAACCTTGTCAAAGTAGTGATGACATCATCACTGTGCTGTACATAGCCTGTGCAAGGAGCAGAGCTGTGGGAGAGACTCCGCAGACCCCACCACAGGCTGCCTGCAGAAAACTATAGGAAGGGGCGGAGACAAGACCAGTCACCCTGCACAAGAGAGAGAGAGCAGCAGTGAGCGGTCTTTATTACAGGAAGGGAAAGTCTCACACTGGATTCCTGCACAGATTTGGAAGAAATACACAAAGCACACAAGATTTTTGTACGAATACACGACTCACATGTACTTAGAAAATATTTGCCTTTCCTGGAGTTCAGCTTTAACCTCTTCCCACCCGGCCCATGGCAGAATGGCAGCCAGCAAAAACCCTCACCTTTCCGGGTGGACACCATATGGCGTCCTTTCGGGCAAGTGCAGTTTGCGCGCCTGAAGAGCCACGCAGCGGTTGCGATCTGTCACTGGCTGTGTACCTCAGACACTGCCGATGACAGATCTGAGTACCAGCCCTGTTGCCGGTACCATGTGACCTGCTGTGACCAATCACATTATTTTATCTTCATACTGTCACCAGTCAGTGTCCCTGTTCACCGCCATGCCAATTATATGATGACGCTGTACTGCACTGGTGACAGTATGTAAAAAAAAAATAGTGAAAATAATTTTTTTATTTTCCGAAAAATTATGCCAAAAAAAAAATAGAACTTCAAAAAACTCTGCAAATAGGGGTCATTTGGGGGATATCTGTACTGTTCTGACATTTGGGGGATATCTGTACTGTTCTGACATTTGGGGGATATCTGTACTGTTCTGACATTTGGGGGATATCTGTACTGTCCTGACATTCTTGGACCTCAAGAAATTAGATTGGCTGTCAGTACTTCAGGATTGATCAATATTCAGATCTATCCCATAGTTTGTGAACTCTATAACTTTTCTACAAACTAAATAATACCTCCTAATTTGGGTTATTTTCACCAAAGACATGTAGCAGAATACATCTCGGCCTAAATTTATGAAGAATTATTTTTTATTTGTAAACTTTTATAACAGAAACAAAGAAAAACGTGTTTTTTTTTTTTTTTCAAAATTTTCGGTCTTTTTTTGTTAATTTGGCAAAAAATAAAAACCCCAGCGGTGATTAAATACCACCAAAAGAAAGCTCTAGTTGTGTGAAGAAAATGATAAAATTTTAGTTTGGGTACAATGTTGTATGACTGCACAATTGTCATTCAAAGTGTGAGAGTGCTGAAACCTGAAAATCGGCCTGGGCAGGAAGAGGGAAAAAGTGTCTGGTATGGAAGAGGTTAAGCCCTGATGAAAGGGACACGATTTGGCCCCCAGAATGCACTGAATTTTGTGTACACTCTTCCACTTGATGTCTCATGTCATGGTGTGGTGCCTTAATCTCAGACCCATCGAGGCATTTTGATATTTCCATAACTCCTTCCAAGATCGAGCCCGCTGGTTGCAACAGTGCTAAAGGCTCTTGAGAGGAATACTGAGGCAGGGTGCTGTGATGTTTTCAGAAAACTATGTACATCACCCTTCCAGCAGCCTTGATCTCTCATCATTGCATAGAGAATGACAGAGGCACACTGATGATGTCATTGGGTCTTAAATAAAGTATGTAATAAAAATGGAAAGATTTTATTTAAAAAATCTCTTTTGCATGTAATGGGGAGAAGGGGGGCAGTCAAGGCAAAATATAAGCAGATTAAACTTCAGCTTTAAAGTAGTACAATAATATCCTGATTGGTTGTCTGAGTATGGTGTCAGGCCACACCCACAAAGGCCTTTGAATATTAACACCTACATATTAAAATACAAAAAACTGAGTTCAAAAATACCTTTTGATCCTGCCAGAAATCGAGTGAGGTCCTAACTTAACATGGGGAGGGGGGGGGGGGTATCTAGTTCAGCAGGGCTAACAACACTGCTATGGTCTTCTCCTTTTTCAGTTGTTCCATTTCTAAAAAAAACTTCTGAGATTGGTGACTGGCTGGTTGACTCCATTTTGTCTTCCTCCTTCTAGCAGATTCCTTATCTACATTGCCGTCCTTGCGCAGTGGTACCACCAGTCCTGAACTCTTTGACTCCCAGCCAGTGGCCATGACTACCGGCAAACAGGCCATTGCTCGCAAAACCCCAGAATCCTTCCTGGGACCCAACGCCGCCTTAGTGAACCTCGAGACACTGGTGACGATGCCCACACCGCCTGCCCCTACGTTTAACCCCTTCTTGGCATCAGGTACATCACAATTTTTTTTTTTTTTTGCAGGTTTTATTTGACATTTGTGATAATGCTATGTCAGATTCAAAGGAAAGAAAGGCACCCTTCTTACCCCTGGCTACCACTATGGAATCCAGTTCTGTATGGTAGGCAGAATCCAGTAATTTCATTGGTTTCTAGAGCTTACTAGGCACTTGTTTTCTGAGTCACCACTAACTTGGAAGTAGTACACAGATCAGAAGTATATTCAAAATCACAGTCAAACTTCCTGGCATATTTAAAAAAGAACATTTTCCCCCGATGTTCGTATGCAAGCAACTTGCACGTTCACCTTTTGTATGAGTGTTATTATTAATGCCATTTTATAATGAGATTCTTCCAAAAATGCAGTAAGTAACGTGAATTAGGGAAGAAAATGGTTAGCAAGCAAGAGCCAGCATGGCAGGCCCTCCATAGGGGCCAGTGGTAAATTGCTGATAATATCAGTGTTTACAGTCCAGAAAATCTCAAAAACTAGAAGGAACATTCAGCTGTAACATTGGCTGTATTATAGATAACAGCCTGTCAATCTCCAATAGCTAAACCTAGCCTCTCTTTACTGCAGCCGAATCCTGACCAAACCTTCTGCCCTGTTAGAATCCTTACCAGACTTTATGCCCTAGCATAATCCTAACTATACTGTATGTACTAGCCAAACCCTAACCATACCAACTACCCTAGCCTAACTCTACCATGTGTTCCACCCTAGCTTAACCCTACCCATACGTTCCACCCTAGCCTCACCCTAACCTGACCATACCTTCCATCCTAGCCTTAACCCTACCCGTACATTCCACCCTAACCTCATCCTAATCCTTACCACACCTTTAATCCTAGCCTAGTCCTAACCATACCTACTAGCCTAGCCTAACTCTAACCATGTGTACCACCCTAACCTCATCCTAATCCTTACCATACCTTCCACCCAGCCTAATCCTTACCAACTTTCAACCCTAGCCTAATCCCTCATCATACCTTCCACCCTAGCCTAATCCTCATCATACCTTTCCAACCCTAGCCTAATCCTCATCATACCTTCCACCCTAGCCTAATCCTCATCATACCTTCCACCCTAGCCTAATCCTCATCATACCTTCCACCCTAGCCTAATTCTTATACCTTCCACCCTAGCCTAATCTTCATCATACCTTCCACCCTAACCTAATCCTTATGCAGGTCACAGACGGCTCGAAAACCGAGTGTTTTTTGTCCGATTAACAAAACATCGGTCGTCGTTCGTTAAACCAACGTAACCACCAATTATTACGAAAATCGGCCGACCAAGTCATAAAGTTCACCCCATATAACAGGCAAAACTTCTGTTCCTTCCAGGTCACGGCTCATGCGCATATTTTTTTCGTAAAAACGATCGTACGATTTGACCGTCATTGATGCAAAAATCAGTAGTTTTCCACAAATTTTCCAACATGACCGATAATCCAAAAGTGGAAAAAATGCAAAAACTGGTTGGCAAATTAACCCACTAGCAGTGCGAAAATCGGCCGATTAATCTTTCGGACAAAAAATTTTCGAACCATCTATGGCCGGCATTATATCATACCTTCCACCCTAGCCTAATCCTTGTCATACCTTCCACCCTAGCCTAATCCTCGTCATACCTTCCACCCTAGCCTAATCCTCGTCATACCTTCCACCCTAGCCTAATCCTCGTCATACCTTCCACCCTAGCCTAATCCTCGTCATAAACCTTCCACCCTAGCCTAATCCTCGTCATACCTTCCACCCTAGCCTAATCCTCGTCATACCTTCCACCCTAGCCTAATCCTCGTCATACCTTTCCACCCTAGCCTAATCCTCGTCATACCTTCCACCCTAGCCTAATCCTCGTCATACCTTCCACCCTAGCCTAATTCTTATACCTTCCACCCTAGCCTAATCCTCATCATACCTTCCACCCTAGCCTAATTCTTATACCTTCCACTCTAGCCTAATCCTCGTCATACCTTCCACCCTAGCCTAATTCTTATACCTTCCACCCTAGCCTAATCCTATACCTTCCACCCTAGCCTAATCCTTATACTAACTTTCACTTCCTAATCCTAACACTACCTTCTGCTCTCTTACTCCTAATCATACCTTCTATTTCTACTCATACATTCTGCCATATTGTGTTCTTAACTGTATATTTACATTTTAACCAAACCGTCTGCCTCAGTCTCATTCTACCATACTGTCTGCTCTAGACAAGTCAAAACTATACTCCCTAGCCTTATGGAAACTATACTCTCTACCCTAGATGAGTCCTATCGATAATATACCAAGCCAAATATTAACCATACCCTCTGCCCTGGCCTTATCTTAACTATACCCTCTGCCCTAACCAGATTCCAACTATACCCTCTGTTCTAGCTGAAACCAAACCATAACCTCTGTCCCAGCATAATTCTAACCACATCTGGTTAGCTAGTCTGATTTTAACCATACCCTCAACTTTTATAAGTTACCTTACCTCTTGAACTAGCCTATATTCTCTGCCCTAGCCTTATCCCATCCACGCCCATTGTTCTAACCTAAAACTCACCTTATGCTCTGCTCCAGCCTAAACCTAATCCTACCTTCGGCCTCAGCCTAATCTTAACATACCCTCTGCCCTAGCCCATAACAGTGTTCTGTTTAAATGAGACGATGTAGTCACGTGACATTAGCAGAGATGGTTTTCAGTGCAGGACAGGAATGTGAACACTGCTTAGGAAGAGTACTGTGTCCAATTGACCAGCCGATGTTCTGGTCTGGGAATGTACAATTCCCTAACTGCCAGCAGCTGCTGGAGGCAAGAATCTTCAGAATGCATAATAACTTAAGGCAGGTGGAAAGTTATACAACACAAAGACCATTTATTGTAGATTGACCAATATTGTCAGATTTAGAATGAGTACGACTGGAGGACAGTGCAACTGGCAAACCAAGAGAAATTCACAAAGGTCAACACTGAGCATCAGACAGATGTAGCTAAATGAAAAGTCTTTTAAATTAGAAGCCATCATTGGTGTAACAACCCCCACCCCCACAAGTAGTTGTCAAACGTGTTTGATTTGACGTGTTGGTGGACAAAGCTTAAAGTAGTATTAAACCCTCAGTTTCACATTCAGCGAAATAACAAACATTGTCTACAAAACTATTTGTTACAATTCTTACCAAAGCATTTGCAGTTTGCAACATTTAATGCTGCTGGCTCCTGCTCTCTCAGTGCTGCTTTCCTGCATGCAAGAGTGGCTCTATAGGATGCTGCAAGAAAGAGGAGCCACTCTGAAACAGGAATTCTGGGCAGTGGCCATGGCTCCAGCCTAAATTAGAACATAGTCAAGGATAAAAAGATAAAGAAACTGCACACTTCGTAAGTGATTCATTTAGATGCTGAAAGCTGAGGGCGTAATATCACTTTAAAGCAGACTTTTTTTCTTTTCGAAATAATTGTTATTTCTATTAGAACTGCTTTCACCCTCATTAATGGTAAAAGGGCCAAGGAGGGAATGTGCATCTTCAGCTATAAATCTTTATAATCAGACGAGTTACAAGTACTGGTTTAAAAAAAAACAGATAGGTAAAAGGGGGAGGTACTTATATGGGCACAGAAGATGGAGAGAGCCTAGGGTGGTGGCACCAGTATGGTGATGTTATCTAGTAATCTGAAGAGCGGGGAGGAAATGGGGTAACGACCTGGAGACAGAACAATGGCAAACTCAGGAAAGTGTAGTAACTTTCTTTCAATTAATGGCAAAGTGACAGGTTCTCTTGATAGGGCACATTCCTACCACCCACTGATCTGTCCCATTAGAGCCCTCAGTACCTTCTGGTATGAGGACACATGTAACCCTCCTTTTTCCCAGGATGCAGTGTTTGGGCCTGATCAGCCAACCTCTAGGTCTAAAAACAAGGAGGAGGGGAGAAGGTCCTTATCCCTCCTAAGAAGGAGCCTAGACAGTGACTAGACCTATGGCACTAAAGGACAAACATAGCAATTAGGGAATGAGGTAAAATTAAGTATCAATGAGTTGGGGGCAGTTGTGCCCTAATTGGAGAACCTTTCACTTTGCCCATTCAGATCCTCTTTAAAGTGGTTCGAAATGCACAAAGTTTTTTTTTTTTTTACCCTAACGCATTCTGTGCATCAAGGTAAAAACCTTCTGGGTGCAGCTCCATACTTAGCCCCCCCATATACTCAATTGAGCTGAGCCCCATCTCGATCCAGCAATGTGCATGAGAACAGCGGCACTCCCGGGTGTCTCTCTCCTCACTGGCTCACACAGCAACGGGAACCATTGCCTCCTGCTGCTGTCAATCAAAGCCAATGAGGAGACTGAAGGGGGTGGGGTTGAGAAACACTGTGCAGGAATGGACAATGTCTGTTCACAGGAGAGTGGCTTGGGAGCAAGCCTGCTTGAGTGCCCCCATAGCAAGAGGCTTGCAACTGGGGGCACTTGGTGGGGGGAGCAGCCAGGACTGCTAGCAGGGGACCCAAAAAAAAAAGATGAGGATTAGGACTGCTCTGTGCAAAACCATTACACAGAACAGGTAAGTATGACTTGTCTGTTATTTAAAAATAATTGCAACCTTTAGAATCCCTTTAATTTTTGCAGTCTGATGGAGCGGCAAAGCAGGCTGGATCAAAGGCCTGAGGGTTTTTACAAATCATTGGACCAGTAAAGAGTTCCTATATGTGAATCCCAGCTCTGGGATGTCCTAAAACTCATAATCCTCCCTGGCCCCTCAGACCTCCAATCAAGTTCCCTCCTGCAGAATTTACATACATAGGCTTCCCTGCTCTCTGGTTTCACAAAGACTTTCTAATTGTCTGTGGCACCAGGCCAGGGCCTCTTAATTCCAGAGAAAGTTCCTTTCCTGTGCTTTTCCTGTCTGCTTTGAAATCGGAAATGACCTGTTTACTTTGAGGATTCCTGAAATACCTTGTAGCTCGCCCCCACCCTTACTACTCACAGAGATACAATAAGGCCTCTCACAATACAGACAGAGCTGCAGGACCTTCCCAGCACCTCCTTTTACCATTGTGTCCATTCACTTACAGATCAAACCTGATCCTGACACAACCTCCTTTGCCCATTGTGGCTCATCCTACCTATTAAGACATCTTAAATCTTCTCGGCAAGTTTTTCCGATGATTTCCATGATTTGCCAGAAATTCTTTATCGCAATGACATGACTCGTATGATTTTATAGCGAATGATCATTGCTGGCTATTCTCACTTTTTTTTTAAACAGTAAAGTACAATACATCAAGTAGTACCACAGATTAAAGTGGAACTTTCTCAGTCACTCAAACATCATTGACTAGTTTGAATCCTTATGCTGCCAGCTAAGTAAATAGATAAGAAAGTCTATTATATTTACTGGTTTTAAACTGTTTTTTACTTTTTTTGGTTACTTCCTAGTTTCCATGCCTAGGCAAATTATGTCATACATCCAAGGAGTCTTCAGGAGGGGCTTTCTCAGCTAAACACACCCTCTTGCCTGCATGTCTGAGCTAAAGGCAGAAGGATTCCAGGAAGTAAATGCTACAGGAATTATCTGCCCTTACTCAATATGGCTACGGCTAGATATGTAAGGGGGTGATTTATAAGCAAATAAAACATGGAGACATGGATTGACGGGTGAGTTTGCTCTGAATTAACCTCTTGCCATCCGCCTGCTGTTGATAAACGGCAGGGCGGTGGCACTCCAGGGGCGGGTTGCCGTTCATAAACGGCACCCGCCTTTTCTAGCTGTGCGCGCAGCGCGATCCGGTGACCGCTGTGTCCTCCGGACACAGTGAAACACCGATCGTCAGACGGGACCTCTGTACGAGGTCCCGATCATGTGATCACTGATTGGCGAATCAGTGATCACATGCAAAGTAGTAAGCAAGATGTCACTTGTGACATCATTGCTTACTACGTGTGAAATCTGTGAATGATCACAAAGGTCACATGGTACAAGGCTATTCACAACAGCCTTGTACCATGTGACAAGCTGTGGCCAATCAGAGCTCACTCAGTATTTCTCAATGACTGCAAGAATGCAGACAGAGAGAAAGAGAAATGATTGCTTTTACATCCTATATGGGTGTAAAAACAATCAGTGTAAAAAAAAAAATCTTCATCACCCCCCACAAGTAGTACAGTGTCACCATGGTGACACTGTACTGCTAGGGTGACAGAATGTAAAAATAAAAAATAATAATATAAAAAAAAATAAAATAAAATTTTAAAAATTATAATTTTGGTTATAAACTACTTTGGATTTTTTTTTTTTTACTAAAAAAATAACGGAATAAATTTTGGCCAAGATTTATGATGAAATATTATTTATTTGCAAAAGGTTATTTAAAAAACACTTTTTTTCAAAATTTTTGGACTTTTTCATTTACATAGTAAAAAAAATAAAACTCCCAGCGGAGAATAAATACCACCAAAATAAAGCTTTATCTGTCTCAAAAAAATGGTAAAAAATTCATATGGGTACAGTGTTGCATGACCGCGCAATTGTCATTCAAAGTGTGATAGCGCTGAAAGCTGAAAATTGCCCTGGACAGGAAGGGGGTAAACATGTCCGGACAGGAAGTGGTTAAGTAGCCTTTTTGGTTTGAGGTGCTCAGATACAGTGTAGTTCTGCTTTAGTTATCATACATAAGATACAAACAGAGATATATAATCCATAGGAACCTCACAGAAGGTACATATTGGTAAATAAAGCAGGTAGTAAGAAAGTAGTAATGTATACATCTCAATGGAAAGGTATTTAAGGCACATAAGGAGCTGCCCTATACTTTAAAAGATCATTTAATTTTAAAGTAGAAATAACCCCTAAAAGAATGACGTTTAACCTATTTGTATCATAAGACAAATACCATTTTTTTAAAACAAAATACATATTTCATCCTATATGGCTTCTCGGTGCTGCTGATCTCCTGCATCGTCTCTGCAGCCATGTTCTCAGCACACCAAGGATCACCAATATGGGTCCAAAGGTTTTAATAAACGATCACATAGTTACAGCAAGGCAACATTTAGGAGTCTTGCAGGACCCCTTCATCAGGCATGTGACCTCACATGCCTGATGAAGGGGTCCTGCGACACTCCGAAACGTTGCCTTGCTGTGACTATGTGATCATTAAAACCTTTGGACCCATATTGGTGATCCTCGGTGTGCTGGTGCCATTTTTTCCTTGCTGGTTTTGTTCAGTTTCAGCCGACGGTCACTGCAGCCCCCACTTATACACACAGTCCTTTTTAACGCAGGAACGTGTGCGTTTGGATTATACACTTGCAGCCATGTCCTGTCCCATGTGTGATGGCTGCATGGCATTTCTCAGGGCGGGCTTCCATATGGCGACAACAGCGGACCATGCCAGCGTAATGTGTAACAGCATAGCCATTTGTAGCATCCATGAGAAGCACGTGTGACAGGACAGTTAGGAGACAGGCAGAGTGTTGTCATCCTATAACAGGAAGTGCCTTCATGACAGGATCACCAGGAACTATTTTATTGAAAGCTGCAGAATTAAATATATTGAAAACGACTTTTGAAATCATTTTAACATGCTAAATCTAATAGGAGAATAGGGCCTATTCACACCATCATATGTTGCGTTAACACAGCCAAAATGAATGGGCTGCCAACAAACAAAAAATGATGCATGCACCATTCCTGGCAGTGCACTGCAACACCCATCCATCAGCAATGAATAACATGCATTTCCACGCACTGCTGTAATGTGAGATGTGAATGGGCCCTTGGTGATTGGTTTTACCTCTAAACCCAGCCATAGATGGATCGAATTTTGGCTGGTTCAGCAGGGACCTACTGAGATTCAATCTACCTATGGGCAGGCTGGTTGTACTGAAGTCAGTCGATGGAAGTCTCCCAAGATGTTCTATCCCTTCCCCACTCAATTCAAAATGAGAAAAAAAAACTTATCTGGAGTTGGGCTTTAAAATTTCAATGACTCCATAGGGCATATGTCAGACAAATCCCCTTACTTTGAGAGATCTTTCTTGCCATGGAAAAAAAAATGCTTCTCCCCAACTCCCAGTCTTAATTAAATGGCTTCTGGCTGCCAATCATAACTACACAGATTCTATTGTTTTCAGTGTGCAGTGAGATAAGAAGATCATAAAGACCTAAAGGATGCCATTCCCTACAGAGATAAATGCAAAGTATGCATGGCTTGTAATACATTGGCACACTTTGATAGGTCTGTTTATATTAAAAAGTAACATGAAATAACCTAAAAGATTTTTAAAGGATAAGTGCATTTATTTTCCCCTCCCCATCACCTGACCTAACCTAGCCCACCCTTCCGCAGATGCATACTTACCTTGACCCAATGGCTGCAGATCTGTTGTTTGTTTACATCTAGTCCAAGTCTTCACTGTCTTGGCCGCTCATTACAACCCCATAGACCACTATGGGACCATGTTTTTTCTGACTCTGTCGTCAGGACACAGCCCTATAGAAGTCTGTAGGGCTGTTGGATTTTTTGCATGTGATTACTGGCGGGGGCTACAGCTGCCAGCAATGAGCTCTGTTTTCTGCCGGATGGGAAGGCTCCCTGCCAGCAGAACGCAATAGCGCTGCAAGAGATATTCCCCCCATCAACACTGTCTGTGTTGATGGGGAAATTGAGTGATTTTCTTTCTTTCCACCCATGGAACGAAAATGGAATTTTGATTTATGTATGACTGTTCCTGTACACAAGTCAATCTATCAATTGACTTTTCATGAATGTGCTTGTTGCAAAATATCTACTCAATAAGCTCATGTTGCAGGGCTGATCAGTATATTCTGATGGTGGGGTGACTCCTGCTGTCAGAATACATTGACACAGCAGGCAGGAGTTTCCCATCCACCTCAAAAGCATGGATGGGGAAATCAGCTCAGTTTTTTTTTTTTTGTTCTGCCTGCTGGTAATGTAATTTATGGGCAGCTTCTTTTTCAGCAATATGAGGAAGGGTTAGAACCTCTGCCAGCTTGTGTCTGTGTCTTCAGAAAAAAAAAAACCCTTGTCCTGCTGTCAGAGAGATAGGAAGTGAGGTGAATAAACAATGGAGAAGTATTCACTTCTGAAGTCTGTCTGAAACTTGTTTATAAATATACTTTAAAGTTGAACTTCAGGCAGATACATGTAAATGTCAGAAATAACGCAGCATTTTGCATTCATTTACACATCATTATTGCAATGTTTTTAAATGCAGACAGTGTAAGTAACTATTGGCTTGGTAGCAACCTCTTGAAAGGGTTGCACAGCAGAAGTCATGCTGGGAGAGGGAAAAGCAGCACAGGGAACCAATCACTTGTGCTGTAGTGCTCGTGTGCCGACCCGAGGTGAGAGCAGAGAGATGAGCTGATCAGTCTGCTGCTTCTCCTTTCACTGTTCAGTCACTGGCAATGAAGGGACAGTACCTGTGAGTGTTACTGAAGGGAAGCAAAGAAAAACCAGGCCTTGCCAGACAGGGCTAAACTGTGTGGCACAGCAGTGAGGACTAGATTGACAACAATACATATCCTTTTTACAGGAAAACAGCTCCCATACATGTATTTCATTTGTATATTTAGTTTTAAGCTGAAGTTTAATTTTGTGCTGGTTTCAGACGTCGCTCCGGCCACACTCATGAATTTCACCTCTTGTCTTCTTAGGACAAACTGCTCCAGCATCTACACCCGCTATCAACCCCTTCCAGGTCAACCAGCCTCAAGCCCTGACCCTAAACCAGCTGCGTTCCAGTCCTATGATGGGAGTTGCACCGTCCTTCAACAACATGCCAGCAATGGCTAACGAGGCCTCTATACCACCCCCATTACAGGGCATGTCAACGTTACCAGCGGTACCGCCAGCAGGGATGAACATAAACATGGCAGCCAACTTGCCACATCACAACAATGCCATTTCCCCTTCAAACACCCAAGCCATGAATGCTACCAACCCGTTCTTGCTATGAAAGCAGAGGGTACCTGTGGACGTGGAAACATTCAGAATAACACTACAGAATGGAGTTATACCTTTCAGCTGCTGTGTCCTTAATATCTGTCAGGTCCGTCCTGCAGGGTGACTAGATCTAAATCGTCGACTTCAAGCTACTAAGGACATGCCCGTAGCATTCAGTTTCACAACCAATCAACACGAGACACTCACCAAAGCAAAGCTTCGTCCTCCTGCTTTTCTTAGGTCGAAATTCATCACCATACTCTCCGTGGTTCAGCATCTCTTGGTCAACCGGTTTTCCGCCACTCACTCTTTTCCCAGGATACTATAACTTGTGTCACTCTGAGATCTAGTGTCATGAAATAAAAAAAAAAGCATCAAACTCATGCATTTGCAGTAGTTGTGCCTGTGAGGAGATACTAACATTGGGTCTGTGGGTGTATTTCAAATTGACGAGTTGACCCATTACATAGGGGAACATGTGGACAAACAGAATTGACATGCAAATGCATTGTGTGCCTACAAGACGAAAAAAATAAAAAATACGCAGTTGTTTTACCCTTTTAGATATAACACGTCCACTTGTTGATGGGTTTGAGTTCTTATGTAACAAAAAGTGACAACACACTAACAGACAAGAATTTATAGCAACGGTTGCTCCAACCTTTTGTCAGCCATTTTGCGAAGGGGGTGGTCATCTGTAGGAACGCAGCCTATGCGTTCACTGCCTTGTGTCTCTGTGACGTCACATGATCCAGTGAATCATTAGGCTGTTTGGCTGCTGGCAAAATGGCTGAGCTGCTGTGTGAAATGTAATCTGGGCAGTCCAAACATTTTAAATAACTTTGGATTTTCCTCACCATCAAAAAAAAAAAAAAAACACAATTGTGTCTATAAAGCTATTCTTTACGTAAAATAAAACCTATATTTTTATCACTTTGTCTCAGCCTTTAATCTTGTAAAAAAAAAAAATTATTAAGGGGTGCTTTCATAAAAATTAAAAAAAAAAGAAAAACCCTGTCGCTTGACCATTAATTTTAAAAAGTTTTCCCATTCGTTTTTTGGGGTTGATTCACTAAAGGCCCACAGAAGTGCAATTGCTCCAAAGCTTAGTAACACTAACCAACCAAGTGCAAGCAAAAATGCTTTTTTAAAATTTTCCTTGCATGTGATTGGGTATTCTTCACAAAGAGAAGCTTTACCTCATTTCCTAAGCTCTGGAGTAACTTCACTTGGAGAGTGCAACTGCAGTTTGCCACATGCACAGTCTATGTGCCTTTAGTAAATCAATCCCCATGTGGGGGATTGAATATATTTTAGCTTGTTATTTATTTGTAAAAGTCTTTCTTGTGTAGACATCCAAAAGCCCTGAGACTGCTGCGGGGCATCACCATCTTGGAAGTAATGTCAGCAGCCCCAGCGGACTCAGAGCTGTCACTCAAGTCACACTTTATAGCAGCAGTTCCCAACCTGGTGTATGAGCAAGGATGTTTTGTAGTATGCACTAAAAATCAGTAATTGCAGTACTAGGCAGCTAGGCTGCACAGCATCATGTGTTTCCATGGTGTAGGTGGCTTGGCCACACAGTGCCACTGGATGTTATGGTGCTGGTGGCTGGCTCTCCTGCACCTGTGTCACTTCTGGGAGCTCCTGGCTACTTCTCAATTCCTGCCTCTGATAGTGGCTGAATGTAGAGGAGTTGTGGCTGTCTGATCCATAGAAAAGGACAGGCAGAGGGAGCTGAGAAGAATGGGCAGTGGAAGCAAGCATAGGAGCAAAGGGGAGGAGGTGTGACAGGCCTCTGCAAGTGTGTGAGCCTGGTAAAGGGATGCCAGGGATGCTCAGTGACAGGCACAGGACACAAAAGCAGGTGAGGCTGCTTCCAACCTAAACCTGCCATAGGAGTCCCATGGCTTCCCCTGTGCCCCCTCCATTCCTGCATGGCACCCTGTCCTGGATATGGTATGGCACTGCAGTTGGGAATGCACAAGCAAACATGTACTATAATTTATTTATTTCAGGTACTTATATAGTGCCATCAATTTACGCAGCGCTTTACACACATCTATATTGAACGTTCAAGGGGCACAATCAGTCCCTAACCCTCAAGGGGGGTCCCTAACCCGTACAATCTAAGGTCCCTAACCCTCAAGGGGCGTACAATCTAAGGTCCCTAACCCTCAAGGGGCGTACAATCTAAGGTCCCTAACTTACATTCATACACATACTAGGGACAAGTTAGATAGGATCTAATTAACCTACCAGCATTTGGAGTGTGGGAGGAAACCAGAGCACCCAGAGGAAACCCACACAAGCACAGGGAGAACATGCAAACTCCATGCAGGAGGCGCCATGGTCAGGAATCGAACCCATGACCCATTTACTACAAGGCAGACATGCTAACCACTAAGCCACTGTGCCACCCACAATGCAGACACACAGCTATTGTAGGAGGCCTCTATCTGTAATGCTGACCTTTGGAGTGGAGGAGTATGCTGCTCAGTTGCAGTTTATAAAAGATCTCTGGGCACTGGCTACCATCAAACCACCTAAGAGCAGCAAAGCAGGTGGAGCAGGCAGAGGAATGCAAAACTGGTGTAAATAGGGTGCCATGTGGCAACCAAGGTTATTATCCCCACTCCTACCATGCTGAGCCCCCTGTCAGGGGAGAGAGGGGTACCCGACAATTTATGGAAATGGACTGCCAAGGGGAACCACTGATCTATTGCATTACTCTTTGCTCTTCCTCCCGACAATGACATAAATGTTTTCTGTACCTCTACCTGCAATGTTTTAGGTAGGTGATGGGGACGCTAAGGTCTTAAAAAAAGGCTTTTCATATGTAGAAAATGAAGAAATGTAAGATCATAAGTGGTCCTCTGGTGGATAAGTCTAGTACTTGGGTTAATAGCGTTTCTGTGCACCCCTCTGTACCCGGTTTCACTTTGTTAGTAAATGCTCCAACTCCTAATTCTTAGGACTAGACACTTCCCACCCACCAGCTTCCTATCCAATGAGAACAAAATCCATAATAGCCAGTAAACTGCTTGCAGTGGGAACATGTATGGCAGGCGGATAGAGCTTAGCTCCGCGGTGTGTTTTTTAGCCCAAAAATATGGAAGAGAAGTTCATTGTAAGGGTTTACATCAGGGTGGATTTGATTTAAATCACTATCACTAGTCAGTAAGGATTGATGTAAATCCTAGTTTTCTACATAAAGACTAATTCTTGCTGGTATAACTTTAATATACAAGTAGATGAAGATTTTTAGAATAACAACTTTTCATATTAGTTTTTTTATCCCCAGTTTAATAGGTTAATCATTCATATTTGGACAACTTTTTCTGTTGTAATTAGGAAGGAGAAAAATAATCATTACCTTAATAATAACAATTTAAATAGATTTATTCAACTGAAACAATAACATTCCAGCAGATGTGATTTGCTTAAACATCCATGTTTGGTAACTAATTTGGCTAAACAAAATATATATATTTTAAGAAACTTAGACTGTCACCCCCCCCTCCCCCTCACACTTAGTTTCACTTTCTTCTTGTGCAGATCTATTCCACTCCAAACAATCAGAAAAATATTGTTTCTATTCTATTCACTGAACTTCTTGAACCTTAGCACTGAAGGGGTTGATTCTGTATCATAGGTTTGTAGAAGTTAGGATGAAGGTCTTTTTCTTAACTCTGTTCATGTTATAACATTTTTGCTGTGAAGAGAGGCATGTGATCTCCGCTGAGTCAAATTCAGTTTTGAGAACTGCAAAAGTAAACCAACATCTGTGATAATATGTTGTAGGCAGAGAAACTGCCCAATAATCTTACAAAAACCTCTGGAAGAGCATGACATTGTGAATGGATTCATGGGATTTATTTACCAAAAAAATTAAACATATACAGCCTTATTCTATATAATTAAAAAACTAATCTTTATTTCATGATGGAATAACCTTTGGATGGTAATATATTTTCCTCAAAAAGTATTTTATACAAAAAAATCCGATTAAAAAAAATCCGATTAAAAATAAAAAAAATCCGATTTTTCCGATTTTTTTTTTTTTTTTTTAAAAAATCACTGATTTTTATCCACCCTGGTTTACATACATTTAGGACAATAAAACAAGAAATGATAGAAGAGATGATGTTAACGTACAATATACATGTAAAGTGCTTCGTAAACTGACGGTGCTAAATAAGTACCTGTAATAATAAATAAAAGAACTCCAGAGAAAAGAACATGGCTATGCTGCAATGCCAAGTATAATCACCAGATGTTATCATGTAATAAACAATATATAAAAGAGCACTATACAATAAATACATCATTTTATGGCTGGCTGGTTTTTAGATAAATAATTGAAATGTTAAGAAGATTATCAGAAAGGATATTTAAGGTAGGATATTTAAGGTAAAACAGCAATCAGCAATGTTTCTGAAAATATTTTTTACAAATTGCAATTATTTTAGCCCTCACACCATGATAAAGAAAGAAAATATGTATAAAATAACTCTAGGGGCCTATTTAGGCAGTGCTATGGCTGCACTCTTCTACACTGGTAGTTGCTGGAGAAATGCCTCCTTATACTGGCATTTGGGGAAGGGTCCACTTACATTGTGGTCGGTGGAATATATGTGTAAGAGGAAGAATGCCCTTTACAGTACATGTCAGTGGAATGAATGCCCCTCACATTGCTGGTCACTTGGATGAATGTCCCTTACATTAGTTGTCATTGGGATGCAAACTTGGGATGAATGCAACTTACATCAATGGTCAATAGGAAAATATGCTCCTTACATTGGTGGTCAGTGAAACATATGCTCCTTACAGTGGTAACAAGAATGCCACCTTTAGCCCGGGTTCACACTGATGCGGTGTGGAATTTGCAGCGTTTTCTGTGCGAATATCCACACCGCATCAGAATCGCACCCCGTTCATGCAAACCACTCTGGGTGTGTATGTTAACAACACCCCGAAATCGGTCCGCAAAATGCGGTGCGATGTGCAGAA